AAGGAATTGGTGTCTCTTTCATTGGCCATCCGTCTACCAAGTGCTTAGGATTATAGCTAGATAAGGATCCATAATATATTATATAGCCAAAGACTTTCATAGATTTTAGGTCCCTTGTGATAATGTTTTTATAAATAAAAACTCCCTAAAGCAATACACTACGTGTGAAAGCTTCTTGATTATTTTCTTTGTGTTATTTTTCTTCATGGTATCAGAGCTTCAAGCTCTTGATAAACAGACACAAATGGCCGTATCGTCCTCCTTTTTTTTCTGTACTTCCAATCTTCATCACCTTATATCAATTGTTTCAGTAAAGCTTAATGCTACTAACTATTTGATATGGAGGATGCAAATCCTTCCTTTAATTCAGAGTTTTAAACTCTTTGAACATTTTGACAAGAATCCTCATGCTGCGTCAACAGTAGACTCCGAATTGGGGAAAGTAACTCCTAATCCCGAATTTGAAGAATGGCAACATAATGACTTGTTGCTGCGTAGCTGGATCATAGACACACTTTCAGAAGAAGTAGTTAACCTAGTGGTTGGTTTCACTACTTCACAAGAAGTGTGGAACTGCTCGGAATAAACATATCCTCAAGCAATCAAGGAAAGGGAGCTTCAACTGAAGCGCCAACTACATGTTGGGATTTCTCACAATTTAAATCCACTAACAAACACACACAATCGAAGAACAAATCAAGAATATAAAGCAATAAGAAACAAGAAAGAACAAGACACAGATTTTACGTGGTTCAGCAATTTGCCTACGTCCACGAAGCTGCAGGGATTTCACTATTGAGAGAGTTGAATACAGAGAGCGGCTGTACCATCCACGATTAACCCTAATCACCAAAACAACAGGGTTTATATGTCCTACGCACTGAGCTGTATAACGGGCCCAAAAAAATTTTCCTCGGGGGCGTTGTCCCCGAACCCCCACGAGACTTGTCCATGAGCGCTACGGCTTGGCCTTATCGGCCCAAGCCTTCGCTCCATGGACTAAGCCTCAGAAAATTTTCCATTAAAAACCACACAACATTATTTCGGGTCAGGTCATCATCCGGATCACAGACTCCTAAAAGGACACGACAAACATTGATGAATACTTGATGAAGTTCAAGAAGATTTGTGACAATCTTGTCGCTATTCAAAAGCCTGTACCGGACGAAGATAAGATTGTCCAACTCTTGCACTATCTTGGCAAGAAGTATGATATATTCGTTACAACAATGCTCTCAAATCCGCCTTTTCCATCTTTCAATCAATTTGTTGCAGCACTGCAAAATTATGATCTCAGAATTAATTCTGATGATACTGAAGAGAAAAAGGATGGCGATCTTAACTTTGCCTTCACTGCCTAACGAACCAACGAAAGAGGAAAATTCTCATCTCGTGGTCGTGGAAACACACAATAATATAACTCACGAGGGTGTGGACCACCACATCAGGTTTAGCCATCCTCAAGCCAGGTTGGTTCAAGGAAATCGTTCAAACAACTTTCAAAATTAAGTGGGTGGATCTCAACATAATAAGAACACCACTCCTTCCCATTGCTAGATTTGTAATCCTTTTTGGGCATACAACTCAAAAGTGTTTGTTCAGGTATGATTATGCATATGATGTCAACGAAACTTTACCCCAGTCATTTGCTTCAGCTACTGTGTTTGATTCATCAAATCTAGACCCGAATTGGTATCTAGAGATTGGAGCTATAACTCATATGGCATCAGATACAAGTAATCTTCAATCGCTCTCTACCTATAATGGATCTGATAATGTCATTGTTGGCAATGGGTCGCACTTACAAATATCTCATATTGGCAACACCACTGTGGGTTCTCCTTATGGATGTTTAGCTCTTAATGATGTGTTGGTAGTTCTTGAAATTAAAAAGAATTTGATTTCTGTGAGTAAGTCGACAAAGGATAACTCTTGCACTTTTGAATTTTATTCTTCTGGTTTTAAGATAAATGATCAAACAACAGGGAAGATACTAGCACTAGGACATAAACAAGGAGGAATTCACTCGTTAGATAAAGCACGAGCAAGTGAAGCATTGGTAGCAATTAAATCTGGAAAGGCACCAGTAGATCTTAGGCATCAATTCCTTGGACATCCTAATTCCAAATTTATTCACGTTTTGTATTCTCAGAATATTATTGATGTTTCTAGTTGGCTAAAACCAATGACAGTTTGTAATAGTTTGGACTTGCAAGTTTCTATCCTATGCAGGGAGACTCCAACTGATTAATTCAGTGTTGTTTACCATTCAGGTCTACAGGGCATCCATATTTATTCTTCCAAAGGGTGTGGTTGAAGCTATAGAACAGTTAATGAAAAGAATTTTATGGTCTGGAAGTGAAATTAGAGCCAGCGGTGCAAAGGTGGCCTGGTCTACTGTGTGCCTCCCAAAGAAAGAAGGGGGTCTTGGAGTTAAAAGCCTAAAAGCTTGGAACAAAGCAACTATGACAAGACATTTATGACATGTTATTAAACTACAAGGGATCTTTATGTGGCCCTCTTGGGTTGATTCCTACCTGTTGAAGGGAAGAAGCTTTTGGAGTATTAGGATGCCTCAAAATTCATCTTGGTCTTGGAGGAAAATTCTTTAATTAAGGGACCAATGTTTACCCCAAATTAGATATAAGATTAGAGATGACCGATCCACTTTCTTATGGTTGGATCCATGGCATCCAAGTGGTTGTATTTATCAGAGTAGAGGTGAGGCGATCATTAATGGCTTTGGATTGGACAAAGAAACTCATGTTAGCAGTATTGTCAACAATTCACAATGGATGTGGCCTGATATTGCAAATGAGGAACTTCTGGATGTGCAAAGAGGGATTCCTCCTAGTTGGAAACCTGATACGAACCTGAAAGATAACGTGCTATGGCTGCCCAATTCAAATTCTTACCTTTGTTTCCACTCAGTTTGCATGAGAATGTTTTAGGATTAAGGGGAATCATCGTGTCTGGGCCAAGATTGTTTGGTTTCCTGGTGCAGTTCCAAGATTTAGCTTTATTTTGTGGCTTGCTGTACAGGAAAGATTACCAACGCAAGATAAGCTTTTGGATTATGGTATCCTACAGAGGGCCTCTTGTGTTTTTTGTCATAGTGATGTGGAATCCCATAATCATTTATTTTTTGCTTGCTTTTTTACTAGCAGATTATAGATGCCACTACAAATTAAGTGTAATGTACAATGGCCTGGTATTGCATGGAAAGATTTTGTCCAATGGTTTGCAAGAAACATGATGGGAAGAAAGCTAAGTAGTGTGATTGGGAGATTGATGTTGTCCACTTTTGTTTATAAGGTTTGGATGGAGACAAACCAGAGAACTTTTAGAAACTCTTTTATGGATGTTACTACTATTTACAAAGACATTGTTGATTGCATTAGGCAGAAGCTTAATTTGCACAAAAGGGTGGGGAAAACCCTCCCTAATTTATGGATCCAAAGACAATGGTCCCTCCTAGAGTCGATTTTTGAACCGCCTTAAAGCTGATGGATTGATGATCGGATCATGTAGATTTCTACTTGGTCTCTTTGAGGTGCTGGGAATCTTGGCTACTAACTGCTTGCTCATGGTCTGCTGGTTGGAGTTTTCCTTGCTAGTGTGTTCCATGTTGCTGGTTGATGTGTGGGGCATGTGGTGTGTTGCTGGCTGTTTGTCTTGGTGGGTTTTGGTTTTGGATTGATTGGGTCCACTGTGTTTGGTGGTTGCCCTCTTACTTGGACTGCCTTTTCTATTGAAGCATTCTCTAGTCTTTGGGAGTTTGTTAACTCTCTGTTTCTTCTGGTGTCATGCTCTGTTTGGAGTTTGGCATTATGGGTGCATTGTCTTTATAGTGGCTGCGTTGCTGGTTCGTGCTTCATCTTGGTGTTGTTGTTTGGTGCTTCATCTTGCTGATCATGTCTTTTGCCCAGTATTTTCTTTTTGTTCCTTTTGGATTGTGCTTTTTACCATGTATTCTTTTGCTATGGGGATGGGGGATCTTCTTTTTCTTGTTTTAAGAAGATCAACTATCCCTTTTGATTACACTTGTGTACAAGATCCCTTTTTATTTTTATGAAATTATCTTACTTACCGAAAAAAAAAACATTGCAGCAATTCTATTGGCTAAGATTCATTGTGATTTATGGAGACCGACACTTGTTGCCTCAGTACAACATTTTAAATATTACGTACTTTTCGTCGATGATTGTACTAGATTTACTTGATTATACCTTTTGAAACAAAAATCTAACTTTTTAAGACCTTTTGACGTTCCAAAAATTAGTGGAAAATCAGTTTGGGTATAAAATTAAAGTTTTTAAATGTGATAGAGGGTAGAATTTGCATTGAATGAATTTTTAACACATCTTGATCACTGTGAAATTCAACGCCATGTTTCTTGTCTTGCTACCACTTGGGATGAATGAAAGTAAAAAAGGATACAAATTAAGTGTAGAGCTCTCTATATATAGTCAATGAAAGTTACAATAAGAATAAAAAGGTAAAAAGAAAAAACTTAATAAGTCCTAATAAACTAAGTTATTGCTATATCTCCAACACTACCCTAGAACAAAATGGAGTGGCATAACGAAAACATAGGCATGTAGTGGATGCTGGGTTTACCAAGCTTATTCATGCTCATCTACCCAAGAATATGTGGATTGAAGCCTTTATAACTGCAGTGTTTCTTATTAATCGACTTCCTTCATCTACTCTCAAAATAGAGACACCGTTTTTTAAGCTTTACGGGCATCATCCAGATTATACTTCATTGAAAGTTTTTGGTTGCCGATGTTTCCCTTATCTGTGACATTATGCTAAGAATAAGTTTGAGCCCAAGTTCTATCTCTCTGTGTTTCTCGGCCATAGTTCAAGTCATAAGGGTTATCGATGCCTACATCCTCCTTCCAAACGAGTTTACATTTCCCATCATGTGGTTTTTGATGAATTGGTCTTCCCATAAACTACTCTTCACTCAATATTTAATTATTCTCAAACTCAAGGGACATTTTCTACATATTCAGAAGTTATCTGACGGTTTTTACAAACCTCATATGCCTAATATGTGGTCATCATCCGTCTTACCATCTGACGAACCTGATTATAGACTTGTGCACTATCCAGCATCTAGCACATCACAACAATCCTCTTTTCTTCAATCGGCAGCAACTACTATCACCCCAAGTCGGCTTGACGAACCTGCACTTGAAATTCCACCACAGTTGCAGCAGCTATTAGCACAACCTAGTTCACCTTCTGCCACTACACCTGATTTAGGAAATCAGTCACCAATTGAAGCTCACAGCCCGCTGCTCATGCCTACAGATCACGTTGGTCCATCAGCAAGTTCCTTAAGTCTTAGCTCTGCACCATCTTCGGCAAACTCCTTACAGGATACCCTTTATATTGATCTTCCATTGGATGCACCTCCACTGAACTCAGAGCCTACACAGTCATTGGATACTCATTCCACCACAAATATTCATCTGATGCTTGCTAGGGAAAAGGCACGAGATCAGCAAACTCTTCTTGCTCAACTTGATCCTACTGAACCCAAGACCACTAAAATAGCCCTTCAGCGCCCACATGGGTAGCAGCTATGCATGATGAACTGCAAGCCCTCCATGGCAATCACACATGGATCTCAGTGCCTTGTCAGCCAGACGTGAACATTATTGGTTGCCGGTGGGTGTTTAAGGCCAAACTTGATGGTTCCATTGAGCGTTTCAAGGCAAGGTTAGTTGCCAAAGGTTACAATCAAATATAAGCTATTGATTTGGATGAGACCTTTAATCCAGTTATTAAACCCACTACAATTCGGTTAGTTCTATCCGTTGTTCTTACTGGTGGGTGGCCCATTCGACAACTTGATGTCAAAAATACATTTTTACATGGTCATCTTAAAGAAGTTGTCCACATGGAATAACCTCTAGGTTTCATTGATCCCCAATTTCCTAATCATGTACGTCGACTCCATAAAGCCCTTTATGGTCTCAAACAAGCCTCAGGGCATTGTTTGATCAATCTAGTAAGCTTTTATTTCATTTGGGTTTCATTTACAATCGAGCTGACTCCTCCCTATTTATTTTTCGGTCCCATGGTAATATCATTCTTTTGTTGGTTTATGTCAATGATATAATTGTTACTAGTAATGAGCCCTTCTGTTAAGAGTCTTCTTTCTCCTCTTACATTCGAATTTGCAATAAAAGATCTAGGTGCATTACATTTTTTTTTTGGGCATTGAGGTTCTCCCCTTTTCCGGTGGTCTCTTTCTTTCCCAACCAAAATATGCTCGTGATATTCTCTCTAAATTTTCTATGATTGATTGTAAACTTGTTAGCACTCCTCTTGCTAAAAAACATAATTTGCAGTCTTCTGGTGGTTTTTTGGTTGATGCTACTACATATCGTAGTCTTGTGGGTGCCCTTCAGTATCTCACTTTCACTCACCCAAATATTGTTCATGCCGTAAATCTGGTATGTTGATGTATCGATAAACTTGGTATTCTCCATATGCAGGCTGTAAAGCGATATATTCAAGGTACAATAGATTACGAAATTTGTTTACTCTCTTGTTCGTCCTTGAATCTTTATGCCTTCTTTGATGATGATTGGGTTGGTTGCCTGGATACTCGACATTCCACAAGTGGGTTTGTGTCTACTTGGGTGTCAATTGGCATTCTTGGAGCTCCAAGAAACAAGCTACAATTTCCCACTCTAGTGCCGAAGCTAAATATCGAGCCATGACTTCTACTACAGCTGAATTGACATGGATTACTTACCTTCTTCAGGATATTGGTATTCATTTACCTTCTTCCCCAGTTTTATTTTGTGACAATAGAATTGTAATTTCTATGACTGCTAATCCAGTCTTTCATGCTCGTACTAAGCATATCGAACTTGATTTCCATTTTGTATGAGAAAAGTTTGCCTGTGGAGATCTTATCACTACATATGTTCCTTCTCAATATCAGTTTGCGGACATTTTCACAAAGGCCTTGTCTAACGATACCTTTCATGGTCTTCGTATCAAGATTGGAGTGCTGCCTCCTCCGCCCTCCATCTTGCAGGGGGGTGTTAAGAAAATCACCTAGCCAAAAATATCTAAAAAAATCCGAAAATATCTAAAGGAATTGGTGTGCCAGCTCTCTGAAAATATCTAAAGGAATGGCGTGCCAGCTGAAACTCAGAATTAATCGAAAGGAATTGGTGTCTCTTTCATTGGTCATCTATCTGTCAAAAGCTTAGGATTATAGCTAGAAAAGGATCCATAATATATTGTATAGCTAAAAGTCTTTCATAGATTTTAGGTCTCTTATGACAATTTATTATAAAAAAAAACTCCCTGAAGCAATACACTGCGTGTGGAAAGCTTCCTGATTATTTTCTGTGTTATTTTTCTTCACTGAGTGCGAGTTGGTGTGAGAATCACACTTTTTTTACCTTAGACCTCTTACCACCACCATCGAATTCCAAGTTTTATAGCTTGTTTGATATAATGGTATGATGTTTTATCAATCATTCCTATTTTTTATTTTTTCATTTTTTTGTTCTTGTATTTTTGTATCATACCAAACGGGCCATTACTTTGTAGCAAATTCTTGCGACAACAATTGTTGTATTGGTGAGCAAGCTCTGAACTCAATTTGTGGCTGTCACCTAGTGGATTTATAGTGTTAGAGATCATGGATGTGGCCCTGAAGGTTCAATTAAAGCAAGATGAGAAATTGACTTCTGAAGATTCAATGAGTCTTCATCTTTTTGAGTCTTGCTGTATCGAGTCATGCATATACATAGATCCTATGATTTTTTCCTTCTGGGTTTCTCTTAAAGTTCTTGTGCAGTCTTACTTGTGTGAATATTGGTGGTTCATGGTTGAACCTACCCGTACCACACTTCAAATTATCTTTGATATATTGATCATAAGATGGTCGGTTACTCTTGCTGGATATTTTGCATGCAAGTCTTGATGTGATACTAAATTGTTTTTGATTTGATATAATTGTTATATTGTGGTTGATTATGACAGTTTTTGCAATTTAACGTTGAATTTTGATAAATCGATAAAGAAATATAATGTCCCTAAAATTAGAAAAAGTTATAATACGAGAGACATGAAAAAAAAAAAGGAAGCAATTGTCCAAATTAACAAATTAAGTCTAACATAGTTAGTCACTCATGATTTTTCCGGCCGAGAAGTTGAGGAATAATCTGTACCAAAAGCGAAGATTGATCTTTCATTGTTATAGTGATATAATGCTACGCTCACCTCGTTTTTGAATCATATTTATGCACCACCTCACACATAGATCATTAAATTAGTGGATTCTATTAAATTATCAAATGATTATGATTGGACCATATCAGATGATAAAGATAAGATAATTCAAAAAGGCGGTGTTCAAGTCACCATTATTTCATGTAAGAATTTGATAAAAGAGCAAATCCATTAACCACTCTTCAAAACAATTCAATGGAAAACTCAAAAGAAATCAATACATTATCCAACTATTAAGTTATATAATTTAGTGATTCATCACTAATTTGATGATGATTCAAAAATGGATAGAAAAACGTAAATGAAAAGGCAGGGTCATCTCATCTCCACCCTATCTGCTGAAATCATCTTCAAAGGGACACACTTGGGAATTTGCAGGATCCATGGCCTAATCAGCAAAACATTCCACCAAAAAATAACATAGAAAAAAACAAAAAAAAAGGGTATTAGTAATGGTAATTGACAATAAGAATGACAACAATAGTAATAATGATTAATGGTCATTTAAGAATTGATAATAAGACTCGATAAATATTAGGATCTACAACCAATTTAATAACTGCAATTAATTTAATCAAAAAATAGTATTTTATTTCCGAGTAAAAAGACGAAGAGGAAGTATTTTGATGTCTAGTGCTTGTGAGCCAAACCTTTTTGAAAAGATACTATTAAAAAATGATATGCGTGGTACACATGCATGCATTTGAGATACAAGATTTGAGTTTTTATTTGGATTGGATAGCACTCTATCTATTTAGTGACTTTTCCAAATAGGTTACACATAGACCCTAAAATATCCAAATCCTTTCGATTGTAAACTTTGTCATTTCATAAAATTTAGCTATTCATTGTTCAATTTACTGAACCCCAAGGGACACCAGATGTCGATCTAATAAATTTGATGGTGAATGATTAAGGGCATGACTGAACAAAGGATTAATTGATTGCCTTCCTCTATTATCTTGAATCCACCGTTATTTCCACAACTCCTAGTGACGTGAACAATAAGGTTAAAACTTCTCACTATCATCATGCATGAGGCAATGATTCTAGAATTTACGAATTGGTTTTTTAACTAGGTAGACCTAGCTACTTTATATATAGGTACAATTTTGAATTACATAATACAANCACTCATGATTTTTCCGGCCGAGAAGTTGAGGAATAATCTGTACCAAAAGCGAAGATTGATCTTTCATTGTTATAGTGATATAATGCTACGCTCACCTCGTTTTTGAATCATATTTATGCACCACCTCACACATAGATCATTAAATTAGTGGATTCTATTAAATTATCAAATGATTATGATTGGACCATATCAGATGATAAAGATAAGATAATTCAAAAAGGCGGTGTTCAAGTCACCATTATTTCATGTAAGAATTTGATAAAAGAGCAAATCCATTAACCACTCTTCAAAACAATTCAATGGAAAACTCAAAAGAAATCAATACATTATCCAACTATTAAGTTATATAATTTAGTGATTCATCACTAATTTGATGATGATTCAAAAATGGATAGAAAAACGTAAATGAAAAGGCAGGGTCATCTCATCTCCACCCTATCTGCTGAAATCATCTTCAAAGGGACACACTTGGGAATTTGCAGGATCCATGGCCTAATCAGCAAAACATTCCACCAAAAAATAACATAGAAAAAAACAAAAAAAAAGGGTATTAGTAATGGTAATTGACAATAAGAATGACAACAATAGTAATAATGATTAATGGTCATTTAAGAATTGATAATAAGACTCGATAAATATTAGGATCTACAACCAATTTAATAACTGCAATTAATTTAATCAAAAAATAGTATTTTATTTCCGAGTAAAAAGACGAAGAGGAAGTATTTTGATGTCTAGTGCTTGTGAGCCAAACCTTTTTGAAAAGATACTATTAAAAAATGATATGCGTGGTACACATGCATGCATTTGAGATACAAGATTTGAGTTTTTATTTGGATTGGATAGCACTCTATCTATTTAGTGACTTTTCCAAATAGGTTACACATAGACCCTAAAATATCCAAATCCTTTCGATTGTAAACTTTGTCATTTCATAAAATTTAGCTATTCATTGTTCAATTTACTGAACCCCAAGGGACACCAGATGTCGATCTAATAAATTTGATGGTGAATGATTAAGGGCATGACTGAACAAAGGATTAATTGATTGCCTTCCTCTATTATCTTGAATCCACCGTTATTTCCACAACTCCTAGTGACGTGAACAATAAGGTTAAAACTTCTCACTATCATCATGCATGAGGCAATGATTCTAGAATTTACGAATTGGTTTTTTAACTAGGTAGACCTAGCTACTTTATATATAGGTACAATTTTGAATTACATAATACAAAATTAATATAATATAACTTCCGACGTGAGTGTGATAAAAACAGAAGACGAGAGATGATAGCTTTAAAGACATCCCAGAAACAAATATGAGAGAATATATTAAATCATTAGTTATTACTTGTGCCTGAAGACACGTAATAGTAAAAAATAATAAACAATAAACATATTTGTATTCATATTCATATTCAAAATCAAAATCAATCATAAACTTAGAAAAGAGATAAAAAAATTTAAACATTGATTTATAGTAGGGATGAGAGGTGGTGGGTGGCTATGATGGTGGTAAGAGACGGTGATGGTTGTGGTGGTGGTGATAATGGCGATGGTGGTGGTGGTGGCGGCGATGGCGATGGTGGTAATGGCGGCAGCTGCGACGGCGGTGGTGGTAGTGGTGGTGGTGGTTGCGATGGTGGGGGGTGGCAGTGGTGGCGGTGGCGGTAGCGGTGGCGATGGTAGTGGTAGAGGTAGTGGTGGAGCGGTTCAAAGCAATATTTTTTTTAGAACTATTTATGAGAAATAATTTCTAGAAACACTTTTAAAAAATTATTCCAAACACACTTTTATGGTCCTATTTTTTCTTATTAAATTTGGAATTTTAATATTAATTTTTAGATTAACTTTAAAATAAAATTTAAAATGATTTTATTTGCGAATAGTAAAAATTATTTTATTTATTTTTTAAGATTTGAAATTGTAAATTCCCGTATTATATAAATAAATAAATCCAATACGAATAAAATCGAATCATTGTTTAGAATCTATAGTCCGACTAATTGTTTTCCCTCCCTGTGACCAGAATACTTACTTGGGTCCCTGGTGGTCTGAACGGCGAGTCCACCGAAATAGCAACTCCCACCGGAGCTCCGATACTTCGCCCAGTACGAACTAAAAGCATAACTTGCATGCGCCACCACCGAAACCGGTTCGTAACACTCCTTCCCCGGCGCCAGAGCATCGCACGTTCCATTTCCCACACCGCATGCATAGTCCAACGCCGGTCCAAGCCTCATTAAATTCACCGCCGGAGCCGCCACACCCACCACACACCATATCTTTCCCTTGTACGGATCGTTATTAACCGGATCCGGCAACCGGAGATACTCTGTTTCGTCTCCGGTCAGGTCCAGTTCATATACAGGTATACCATTTGGGTGGACCAAGCCCCAATGGCGCTCTGTACCTGGACCGGGCTTTTGGTTCTCATCATAGAGAGAGAATATGAAGGTGGGTATGGAAAGTCCAGGCCTAGCAGGAGTTCCGATGGGAGGTTTTGCGGTCATCTTTTTCACTAGATTCCGGTTGTAAGTGGCTGCATTGTGTATATTTGCAGCAGGCTGGTCTATGTCCCCTGCGTTAGGCCAACCGGTCTCTGCTATTCCGATCAGGATATTGTCAAACCCAAGTTTTTCCATGGCAAAGGCCAAAGAGTCAAGCATTTGGTCCAGGAGGTTGGTGTAGATTAAACCGCTGTTTGGGTCAGTGTAAGTTTGGTTTGTTTCTTCAAGCAATGCGAAATCAAGGCTCATGTGACTTGGGTTTTCCGACCATGGAAAATAAGGATAAGCATCGATGAAGAAGAAAGAGTTAGTCCGGTTCAAAAACTGTAACAACGGTATGACTATTTGTTCCTTAAGATCAGACCGAAAGGTTCCACTTGAAGGTGGGAAGCTTGATTCCAAAACGTCCATGGCCAGTGGTGTTCCAACTTTGATATTATTAATGTTTTGTTCTTTGATTGACCTCTTAATTCTTTGCATGGCAGGTACGAGATCAACCCACATTCTCCGATCTTGATCGGACTTGTAACTGAGTACTTCATTTCCGACGAGAATGAATCGAATCATAGTGTGAGGGTAATAAGCGAGGACATTTTCAAGTACCCATTGGTCGGAAAGTGTTTGATTTGAAGCAATGTTTGAGATTTGATCATTTGGAACCATGATTGAGACACGGAGCTTTGTTCCTGAAAGTAGTTGAAGTATTTCAGAGTTGGCATCGTAGAGCTTTACACTTCCGGCTTTCATGTTTCTGATGATTTCAATGGATTCGTATGGAGATGGCAAGTTGTTTCCTAGCCGACCGTAGTTTATGCCCATCTTGTTTGAGATTGTTGCATCTGCAAAAGAAAGTGAAAAAAGGATATGAGAGAAGGGCAAATTGTACTCTGATCTCTTTCTCAATTGTCAAATTTCTTACATTGCCTTAAAATCAAATAACCGACATGTTTTGGACCAAAAAGACCTAATGTGTAGCAACGTATGCATTTTTATCGTCTACAATTGTTGTAATGTTAAATAAATAATTATAATTGAAGAGGCAAGGTGAAAAATAAGATAATGAAGGAGACAATTGAAAGCAATGACTATAGTTGAAGGTCAAGGTGAAACATAATAGTTGGGATTACTTGAGAAAGCAAGGAGAGAGAAGAATATCAGAGCAACAAGAGCCATCTCTTTTACTTTATCTTTGTCCATCTTAAAGAATCCAAGAGACCCAGAACACAGACTGGTTCTTCTAAGTATTTGTTGCTGTGCTTTCCACAAAGAGAGAAAGAGAGAGAGAGAGAAGGTGTAGGATATGTTGAACGAAGGGGTGAAGGGTGGTATTTATGTAACGAAGAAGTGTTTAATAACTGATGAAGCTGTTCAACTACCAGACATTGAAGTTTAAAAGCAACCCAATGATCTTGGTGAGGTTACATAAAAAAGTGCAAGAGAAAAAAAAGGAAGAAATAAAAATTGAAGTAATAGTAGATAAAGGGTAAGCCAAAGATTATGAGAGGAGACCCTTTTAATGGCCATCTCGAGCCTATTGATTTCCTCATTTTGTGTGCTCATTCAAAGAAGATCGTGGAAGTGAGGAAAGAGATATCAAGAGAGGGGCTCTCATGCTATGCATTGTGCTGAGGCTTTGCCTGAGGAGGAATTTTTCAGCGTGCAAACATTTTTTCGGTAAGTAAGCGTGTTAACAAGATGGTACCAATAATGTACATCACTCCCTTTGTTGAGTAAATATTGGGTGGAACAATAAAACTATATCATTAATATGGTAGTGTTACTAATAAATTATAAAATATAAAATATTAGTTATTGTTCATGCTTAAAGTCAATATACAACAAATAAAGAAATCTTAAATAATTATTCAAATTCAAAAGGAATGAATTTAAAATATTTATACTAATTCTTCTATTAAAATAGCTCTAAATATATCGTTAATTAGATCTTTCATATTAATGAAACTATCATAAAAACATATAAAACTCCCCAAAACAACTTAATATATATAAACGTCTCTGGGAAAAAAAAAATACTAACATAACCCATTGAAATTTACAATCTTTAATCAACAAATAAAATAAATAAAATTTTCATCTTTTATAAGACTCACGAATTTATCACCTCTACTGCTATTAAATCCAATAACATAACATAATTATAAACTTAACCACCATATTTTCAATACACCTTATTCCCATGTAATAGAAATCTCAAGCAAAAAAATAAAATAAAATAAAATAAAATACTACCATAACACAATTAAATTCACAATCTTTAAGTGATAAATAAAATCAAACAAATCTTCCTCATTTATAAAACTCGTGAATTTATCACCATTATCACCATTCAACTTCAAATGACACAATATAATTATAAATTTAATCACCAAATATTCAATCCTCCATATATAAATATACACAGAAAAATACATTTCTTTTTTGGTTACCAACAAACCCTCACAACCAATAACTACTTTTATTAGAAATACAATAATTCAATTTTTAAAATAAAATAATAATAAATTAAAATTTAATTAAAAAATAGTGTAAAAATCTCGGACATCTCCTGAGTTTTGACAATATTGCACGAACATCTCCTGACATTTTATAAATAACATGAAAACCCTGTGATGTTTGAAATTCATTGCATGAAAGACTCCCTCTATTTCTTTCCTTCAATGTTCCTAACAAAAATTAATAATTTCATCCCAAAAAAACCATATTACTTTTACAATTGCCCTTCTCCAAATTTAGTACCAAAAAAATTAAAAATTTTATTTTATTTGATTTAGTACCCAAAAAAATTGATATAATTTAGTACTCCAAAAAAATTGTTTAAATGAATTTAAATATTAATTTGATAAAAATAAAAATTAATTTGATATTAATTCTACAAAGTTGAATATAAATTAGACAAAATTAAATGTTAATTTTGAATATAAACAAACTTTGAATTAGTTTCATGAAATAAATAAGTGTGTAATTCATTTATTTTATGGAGTAAATAATAATAATAACAACAAAGGGGAAACAAAAAAAGATAATAGTATGTGTGAGAGAGAGAGTATAAGATAGATAGATAGATAGATAAGGAGAGAGTTATGTGAGAGATGAGAGTTTTAGAGTTGTAAAAGGAATGAAAGTCCAATTACAATTATCGGATCAAAACTATTTAAGTTGCAAAAAATTTAAAATAAACAATTTAACAACTTTATTATATAGATAATTGGTGGACCCCACTATTCAAATATGGTAGATGTAATTATTGGTAGTTAGGAAGATAATGGAATCCACTAGGTCCATTCGGTATTCTATCACTAGTTGGTAACACTACATGACATTGATGACGTGGTGTCACAATTACATTCAATATATTTTCAACTTTGTGAAAAAATTTGAAAAAGTAAATTAGGCCGACCCAAGAAAGGAGGCAAAAAGTGTGGGTTTTAGACCCCAATTATAAACGAAAATTCATATTTTATATATTCGCTAGGGATAACTCATACTTGAAGGCCCGATAAATTATGAATGATTTTAAAGAGGGATGTTGATGGTCGTTAGATGAGTTTATTTGAGATCACCAGATTAGCTTATTAAAGTTTTTTCTGTTTTATATTATAGATTATAGATAGACTAGCAATTAGTCGTGCCTGAAGGCTCGGTGTTACTCGTAAATTAGTTACAAATATTTGTCCATATAAAAATATAAAATAAAATACAACATTGTAGTAAATGACGAACAAAATGGTCCGCTAATATTTTTTATAACATCAACCTACATGCATAGCATATACTTCTACATTAAATTTTTACGTCACGAAAAATTATGTTATAACTACTGAAATATAATAATTCAAACATCTGAAAAAATATATCAGTTGACAATATTCAATGTTTTGTTTTTGATTCAAAATCCACGATATTAAGATTTATAATCAAATTTATCTAAATAATAACATAATTCATAACTAATAGAATAAAAATTAAAACAATACTTCCACAAATAAATTAAGTCTGCAGATGTTGTCAAATGACCAAATATAACTATCATAAGTTCAACCGACTTCCAAAACATACGATCTAACGATTGAATTTGTATAATTCGAATTTATAGTAGTGTTTTTAATTTTATATCATTCTTCACGGTTATTTATATTTTTAGTATATTTTTTTAAACTAAACTTTATTTAGTATTAGATTATTTAGTAAAGATTGTTGTTTCATGTTGTTCACTAAATATTGAATTTATATGATTCATGTTCATAGTATTGCTTATAATTTTGTATCGTTTCTCTCGTTTATAATTCTGTATCATTTTTCTCGGGTATTTAGATTTGGATTATTTAGTAAATATTGTTGCTTTGTATTGTTCACTAAATATTGAATTTGTATTATTCGTGTTTGTATATGAATTTAATCTTGTATATTTTAAATGTTAAACATATTTTCTTTAATATATCTTTTCATATATGAGTTGTCCCAATAACTTGAATTTAATTTTGTATATTTTACATGTTAAACATATTTTCTTTGTTAAATTAGAATTTTTGCAAGTTATGCTTTTTTTTATTGATTATGGAAAAAACAAAATTGACTATTGAATTTGTATAATTCAAGTTTATAGTAGTGTTTTTAATTTTATATCATTCTTCTCGGTTATTTATATTCTTAGTATATTTTCTTAAACTAAATGTTATTTAATATTGGATTATTTAGTAAAGATTGTTGTTTCGTGTTGTTCACTAAATATTGAATTTGTATGATTCGTGTTCATAGTATTGCTTATGATTTTGTATCATTTCTCTCGCTTATAGTTTTGTATCATTTTTCTCGGGTATTTAGATTTGAATTATTCAGTAAATATTGTTACTTTATTTTGTTCACTAAATATTGAATTTGTATGATTCGAGTTTGTACATAAATGTAATCTTGTATATTTTAAATGCCAAGCATATTTTCTTTAATATATCTCTTGATATTTGAGTTACCCAATAACTTGAATTTAATCTTGTATATTTTACATGTTAAGCATATTTTCTTTGTTAAATTAGATTTTTTGATTATGGAAAAAACAAAATTGACTAATTGAATTTGTATGATTCGTATTTGTAATATTACTTGAATGAAAGAGAGAGATACATAAGAATATTTTCGTAATATATACAATCTATCTAATATTTATTATATAATTTTTCTTTAGCGATAGATACAGAGAAATATTTTCATAATATACTATCTCTCTTTGTGATATATACTATTTATCTACAGAGAGATGTAGTATTTGCTTGAATCAGATATTATCTAATATTTTCGTGATATTTCTGTGAGATACAAAGAAAAATACATTTAAAAATATTGTGAAAAATTGATACTTTTTGGGTGAATTAAGCGTGAGAGAGCGATACAGAGGAATGAGAGAGAGAGAGAGAGAGAGAGAGAGAGAGATTTGCTTGATTTAAAGAAAATATTTTAGAGAATTAAATTTTGGAATATTAATTTTGAAAATTATAAATTTTGAGCAGCAAAAATATTTCAAAAAAGTTAATGTGATACGTCGGATCGAAACGATCTGAAACATCAATAGCTCGAGACAGTTTGCGATAACGTCGTCCGTTAGATGATACTTTTTTTTTGGTCACGAAACGATCTAAACCACTCTTTGTCTCCGAAATTCAAATTCGTTCTACTTTATTATATAGATAGTATAGTTGAGACCCAAATTTTAAACTCATAATATTTTAAGTCAATACTAAAATAACCTTACCAAATTTAAACCCAACAAGAAAAATTATATATTCAATGACCTAGACCCATCCATA